ATGTTCAGTGCTCTTCTCCAACACCGCAGCTCAAAGGCATCAGAAGTTCTTCTGTCATGCTTATTCATGGTCCTACTTTCAGATGCATAGCAAGTGTCTGGAAAGACCATGGCCCGAATCAGACACACCGGACCAGGTATTAGTCTCCACTGACTTGGAGACAAGTGATCGGAGAGACCATGCCTTGAATCAGATGCACCTTACCTCACCAGACTCACTGACCTAACCTAATTCAGTGTTAGCCATGTTGTTGTTGTTGTTGTTGTTGTTGTTGTTAGATGCTGTCAAGTAATGATTGATAGTGACCCTGTGAATAAAAGATCTGAACCCTGTTCTTTCCTGTACCATCCTCATACTTCATGACACACAAGAGCCCTTTGTAGTAGTCACTGTGTCAGTCCACCTAGTTGACGGTCCTCTTTTTTCGCTAACTCTCCACCCTTCCCAGCATCATGTCCTTCTCCAAGGAATAGCCCCTCCTAGTAATATGCCCCAGCTATGCTAGGTGAAGCCTCATCATTGCTGCCTCCAAAGAACATTCTAGCTGCATCCTCTTTAAGACATACCTGTTCGTTCTTTTTGGCTGTCCATGGGATGCTCAGTGCTGCCTATTCGTCCAGTAGTAAGAATCAACTCCTGATTTTGTTGATGGTTTCAATTGTTTTTCTGTTTTCTATTTTATTTATTTCTGCTCTAATTTTTAAAATTTCAATTTTTTTTAGAGGGTGTCAGGTTTTCTTGCTGTTCTTTTTAAATTTGTTGGAAATGTTGGGTTAGAGAGTTAATGGTCATTTTTTGCTGCTTTTTGTTATGTTTCCTTATTGTTATAAACTGACCTCTGATTACTGCTTTGGCTTTTTCTCAGAGATTTTGGTAAGTAGTGGTTTCATTGTCATTTATTTCAAGAAACTTCTTAATTTCAGTTTTTATTCCTTTTAGTACCCACTCATGTTCAAGCAAGGTGTTGTTCAGCTTCCAAACTTACCTTTTTTTCTCCTCTTGTTATTAATTTCTAATTTTGTAGCATTGTGATCTGAGAATATTCTTTGTATTATTTCTATGTTTTTTTTAATTTATTGATGCTTGCCTTGTGACATAAAATGTGATATGTTCTGGAGAATGTTCCATACACATTGGAGAAGAAGGTATACTGTGCTTATTTTGGGTGCATTAGCCTATAAATATTTACGAGGTCAAGTTGGTTTATTGTGTGGTTTAATTCTTGAGCATCTTTGTTGAACTTTTTTTTTGATAGTTCTGTCTTTTCTTGAGAAGGGTGTATTGAAGTCTCCAACTACGATAGTAGTGCTGTTTATTTCCTTTTTCAGTGTTGTTAATATTTGTTTTATATATTTTGCATTTCTTTCATTTAGTACATAGATATTTATTATTGTTATATCTTCTTGTTCTGTTGACCCCTTAATCATTATGTACTGATCCTCCTTGTCCATTGTGATGATTTTTGCATTGAAATTTATTTTATTGGAGATTAATATCACTACTCCTGCTTTTTTCTGGTTGCCATTTGCTTGGTATATTTTTTTGCTACCCTTTTATTTTTAGTCTTTATCTTCATTTTCCAGGTGTGGCTCTTGTAGACAGCATATTGATGGATTTTGGTTTTTTTAATTCAATCTGCTGCTCTTTTTTCTCTTCAGTGGTGCATTTAAACTGTGATTATTAAGAGATAAGGTTTCATTGCTATTATTTTGTTGAGTTCTTTTTGATGTGAAAAATATTCTTCTAATAAAATAGATTAATGGGACCTTCTAAGAATCAAATCCCTATGCACATCCAAAACCTTCTCCAACAGGGTAAAAAGGGAAGCCACAGACTGGGAAAAAGTATTTGGTAATGACATGTCTGATAAGGGACGTATATCTAGAATTTATAAAATACTTGAACACCACAATAAGATAAAGGTAAATAATCCAGTCATAAAATGGGCACAGGATATGAACAGACACTTCACTAAAGAAGACATTCAGATGGCCAACAAGCACATGAAGAAATGTTTAAAATCCCTAGCTCTAAGAGAGATGCAAATCAAGACAACTATGTCATCTCACCCCAGTAAGACTAGCAAAATTTAACAGAACAGCAAGCAACAAATGCTGGCGAGGTTGTGGAGAGACTGGAACCCTTATTCACTGCTGGTGGAAGTGTAAAATTGTGCAACTACTGTGGAAAGCAGTGTGGGGCTTTCTCAGAAAGTTGCAAATAGAGATACCATTTGACCAAGCAATTCCACTACTGGGAATATACCCTAAAGAGACCATAACTGCCATCCAAGCAGATATATGCACACCCATGTTTATCATGGCTTTGTTCACAATAGCAAAGATTTGGAAGCAACCTAAGTGCCCATCAACAAACGAATGGATAGAGAAGCTGTGGTATATTCACACAATGGAATACTACGCTGCACTGTAAAACAAGGAACTCATGCAATATTATTCAAAATGGGTGACCCTCAAGGACATTATGCTGAGTGAAATATCTCATTCACAGAAGGACAAACACTGCATAGTGCCACTGCTGTAGAATGGGACTGACATCAGGGTTAGGGTAAGAATAAGAGAAACGGGATGAATTATGTATACTGCACTGAAACGGATGAGGGAGAAAACAGTTTAAAAACAATATATTATAGGGCATTATGATTATCATAAGAGTCTGGAATGAAGGTTGCAGAGTGGAGTATACTTGGGATGGGGTGGGAAGGTGCAGGGGGATTGTATACCAATGAAGGAGTTTTACTTTTCAAAGAGAAGAGTGAATTTGGGATAGGGGTGGGGTTGGTGGGGAGAAAAGTGCAACAATGGAAATCCAAAATCTCTGTAAATGTTCATTGAAATGAATAATAATAATAAAAAAAAGAATGATTGGCTAGTTTAGAATAAGGGCAGAATTGCTAAACTGAGAATAAGATGTTTAATAATTCATTCAATAAATGTTTACAATCAACTACTCAGTCTGTTACAGACACTATGGAAAGAATAGTAAATATTCTTTAAATCTAAAAAACTGACTTCAAGCAATTTAACTTCTTTTAGAGGAAGCTATGTAACAACAAATAAATAGGTTAAATATTTATAATTTAATAGTTTAATTTATTAAATTTTGTCTCCGCAAAAAAAAAAAATTCTTCTAAAAGTTCAATTGATCTGGCTTTTAGACACCTCACTGTCAGAGAAATTAAAAACAGGCTATAATTTTTATTATCTCTAAATATTAAAGCCTCATTTGAAAAACCCTAAAACTTCCACATTACAATTATTTTAACTTTAGAATTAATCAAGGACTCTTTTTTATTTGGAAACTTGGTGCTTTTTAATATTTAGCCTATTTAATCCAAGACAGGCTTGGAACCAAGAGTTGCGTCCACTTCCTAAACAACATGACTCTGGAAACTTTGAATTTAGAGAAACAATAATTATAAAACAAGGTTCAGGTACTTTGTTCATAGGGTCGTTATGAGTTGTTCTGGACTTGATAGCACACTAGCAACAATCGTCAAAGTGTATTAATAAGAAGTAATTATTGTCAAATACAGTAGGTGGCGCTGTGATAAAACTTTTGTTTCTGTGAAGCCTTGCTTGGACAGTTCATCTCTACTCTTTGTCTTGTTGCTCAGCAAGTAATAGGTTTCTAACTAGGCAAGTCTGAACAAAATCTAGTAAATTTGCTTAGCATAAGTAAATATTATTTGTAGTGTTTTATTTTATTAAATTTAAAAAGCAGTGGTAAGTTAAAATAAATGGCTACTGTTAGTAAAAATAAAATGTATAAAAATTGATCGATAAAAATCTTTTTCTCAAAATTCTTTCGTATGTGTTTAAATACTGCATGCGATAAAATGAGAATAATACATATATTGTCATATTTTCAGCACTCTTTTTAAAAAATCTTCTTACTAAACAACAACAGAAACCAAAAAAAACACCCCAGAACCCCAGACAAATAAATGAAAAAGCTAATTGCTGTTATTTGACCAGCATAACCAGTTTTTATTACTTTAATACATTGAGAGTTTTTGAAAACTTAAATATTTTATACATTTAAACACAAATGTAAAAGTGTTGCAAGAATAACATATTGGATTGTTTGATATACTGATGTATAGTAACAAAAGCATATTCTTATTTGTATTGATCTTGGTTAAACTGAGGAATGTCAGTCCAGATTTTCAAGCTTCACAATCATCTCTAGAATGTCTTAAAAACTCAGCTCCAGGGATTCCGACTTAGCTGGTATCATCGTAGCCAAATATTGCTGCCATTTTCATTGGCTTCTGCACCACAAAAGTACTATCACCTGACATATCCAATTTTCTAAAATTGTCTTTGAATGGCTTAATGGGATCTTTATTAGGAGACACAGAAATCCTTGTTTAAAATCCATGTAGCAAGTTTCTACAAGGTTAAACTTTGAAATAAGTTAACATTTAGAATTTTAAAAGTTATTATAGAGATAGAAATACTGATACCGTTTAAGTTTTTGCAAGGATGTAGTGGTTAAAATAAAAAATAGAGCAAGAAGCTGCACTGCGATCCCAGAGGCGCACGGTTCGAATCCACCAGATACTCTGCCAGGGAAGGAGGGACAATCTCCTCCTGTACCAGTCAGATCCAATTTGACGGTACACACACACACACACACACACACACACACACACACACACGAAAATAAACATTGCTGGTGGTATTTACTACTAAACATCTGTTGTTTTCTATCTTATTATAAAAAAGAAACGGTATTTTTAAGCATTCAGATTTGAAAATTTTAAATTAAATTTACCATAGCATAATTTCTCTTCTCTTTCCTTTTGAGGTCTTAAAATTTAGGTAAGTAAAATCTAAATTTGGTCTGTGATCTCTTGTAATTTAATTTTCATTTCCTTTTAGAGTTGTTAAAAGTGATGGTATTCACGTTTTCCTTTTTTTTCTGATTACTGATTAGATGGCTGATAGTTGATTTTACATGTTAATGTTTTTCAGTTGATTATCTGGCTCAGGCATTTGATTCTCTTTGTGTGGACCTGAAGACAGATGAAGGGAAAACCTTATTTTTGGACTATCAAGCTGTTCCAGTAATATTAAGTCATCTAAGAATATCCAGTAAAGGACTCCTCTCCAATGTCATTGATAGTTTGCTTCAGATGACAGTGGAATCTAGTAAGTTTTTAAATCTTAAAAAAAAAGTAAATAGATTTTGCCATTCTCACTTGTTTTAAAAAGACAACTACAACATTTGCATTTTATAGAATAAATACTTAAGAAATATTTTTAGATTTTTAAATATTTTTATCATTCATAAACATGTTGCTTAAGAAACATTTTTATAGCTGTGTAATTGTCATTAATAACATCAGAAAGAGAAGGTTTTTTAATATAAAATTTTTATTTTATACTGATTTATTTGCAAAGTTCATATACAATGTTCTTCACACCAGATCCTTTCCATTTCCTTAACCCACTCTTCCCTCCCCTCATCAGATTATACGACCCTATGATTACCCTGTCCCCATCCTCACCTCTTACTCCCATACTCCTGCCCCGTCTTAGATTCTCATACATGTTTTAATAGTTATCTATTTGTACAGTAATGGTCTTAAACAGTATTTGTCCTTATGGGACTCAGAAAGAGTTTAAAAGTCTAATCTTTTGTTGAAAGTTTCATTAATTTACCATAGGTGCTAATAGTTGTCTCAGTGATGTGGGTCTGCCTCACCTGCTCGTTGTTGTTGAGTCAGAATACAGCTGACCCTCCGTTGGGCTTTCAGGAGCCTGTAAATTGCAGTGGAGATTGCCCATCTGTCTCTCAAGGAGCTGCTGGAAGATTCAAACCACAACAAATTTGCCTTTTAGGTTAGAAGATCAAACCCCTACAGACTATGCCCCCAGAACTCCCTAATTAAATGAGTATGCACTGCAAATATTATGTAAAGATTTGCATAGGTTCCTCCATTGTCTTTCTGTCTGTTCATTCTGACATGTTTAGTATATTCCTTGTTTGATGAATAAGGTCATCAAATATAACTCATTCTAAATTGAGAAGGAACACAGACATATTCTTATTGTTGCCCTTTTAAATTTACTGTTTTATTGGGTTTTGTTTTACGTTTTGTTTTGGGGGCACCTTAGCTGTACATTTTGGTTAATAGATTTAATGCATGTTTTGTAGAGTAGAGGCTGTTTTTCTGAGTTTTGGTTTTGTATAAGGGTGGAATGTTGACTTGAAAATGGGTGTGAGATGATGGGATTCAGCTTCCTATTTAAAAATGCATTTGGTCAGCAGCATGGGGCTAGAATCCAGTCTGGAAGTCATCTGCAGCAGCCAGATTCTACAGAGGCTTGTTTGCTGGTTCTGGTGAGGTTTAGGGTGGAATGTTGACTCGCTAATGGGTGTGAGATGATGTGATTTGGCTGGTTTTAATTGTTTTTGGTCAAACATTCTTCTAAGTGATATAGCACTGGTCCGTCCATTTGCTGTACAGAGGTAACGCTTGGTTCCTGTGATGCTAAATGCTGTGACACTGATGTGTTAAATGTGATAATGGTTACCTATGATGGACAGTGTTTGGTGGAGCTCCTTGACTAAAACAAGCTTGGAAGCAGGAGTGGCATCCACTTCTGAAATGGCTTGCCTCTGGAAACTCTATGAACATGGAGAAACGACAGAAGTTTTGCAGGTGTTCAGGTCTTTTCATTCATTCTTTCAGTATGAGTCATCTATGACTTGACTGCACTTAACAACAACAATAATTGGTATAACAGCTTTTTTAAACTTACCATTGTTGTTGTGTACTGTTGAGGAGGAACCAACCCATGGTTAACCCTTTGGATGTTGTTGTTTTTGTTATGTGCCGTCGAGTCGCTTGTGACATATAGCGACCCTATGTACAACAGCCCTAAACTCCGCTCTGTCCTGTGCCAATTGCACCATCTCTGATACACCCATCCCAATTGCCCCAGTCACTGAATCAATCCACCTCATAGAGGGCCTTCCCCTCCTGCGCTGTCCCTCCACCCTACCAAGCATTTTGTCCCTCTCCAAGGACCGGTCTCTCCTTACAACATGTCCAAAGTATGTTAGATGGAGCCTCAGAATCCTTGCCTCCAGGAAGCCGCCCGGTTTGACCCTTTCCAGGATGAATCTGTTTGTTTTCTTGGCAGTCCAGGGTACATTCAGTACTCTTTTCCAGCACCACAGCTCAAAGGCATCAATTCTCCTTCTATCCTCCTTAGTTTTTGTCCAACTCTGATGCGTAACAAGTGATTGCAAAGACCATGGCCTGTACCAGATGCACCTTAGTCTCCAGAGAGACACCATTGCTCTTCGGTACTTTGGAGAGGTTCCTAACAGCAGACTTTCCCATTGCAATATGTCTTTTTTTTTTTGCAATATGTCTTTTAATTTCCTGGCTACTGGTGCGGAAAGTGTTGACTGTGGAGCCAAGCAAACTAAAGCTGTGAGCAATTTCAGTCTCTTCACCATCCATCCTGATGCTGCCAATGTACACCCTTTGGATACATATGCTTTAAATAGAAGTCTTTTCATTTGCTTCAGTTGGCATTGATTTTTGACCTTCAAGTTTGACTTGTTGAATATAGCCAGTTTTGCTTCAGTGATTCTTTTTTCAACTGTGACCTGCCCGTTCTTGACTCTCTTTCCTATTCAACCTCTTTTCTTTACTTATTCACTCTTTGCTCTCCACTCACAGCTGACCCTCCATTGGGTTTCTGAGGCTGTAAACTACATGGGGGGAGACGCCTGTCCTCCCTCAGAGCTCCTGGTGGAGTCTGATTTCTATCAAAATGGAAGGTCCTTGTAAGTCGTAGTGAGCAGCCTGTGCTACTTGGCTGCCACTTGTGCCTTAACTCCTAATGACTTTGTGCAAAGCATGTGTAAGCTTCTGTCTACATCTTGTCTTCACTTATGAACTCTTGTTATCGGGTATTTTATGTTTATGAGATTAGTAAAAAAATCTGACTACTTTTTGTGAATTAATGTATAGCACTAACGCGTTCTGAGGTGTGAAGCAGGAGGCAAATCTGTGATGCTATATCATCGGATTTTTTTTCTTCTGGATATATTTTGTGCTGTACATGTGAAATCTAATACTCTGTGTTGATCAGTCAGGCACATTTGTTGAATGGATGAATGAACATTAGATCAAATGAAGCAAATACTTTTCTAGATAATTATTGCTTTCCTAAATGTGGAATGGACAACGTATTTCATCTCTACATAATTTTCCCATCCGATTTTTTTAAAAAGATCATATAAAAAGTTATTGGAAAAGAAAGCTTGGTAAAATTGATTTGTGAATGGTTTATCTTACTCAACTAATGGACACTCAACTGTATGTGAAACACCATGTTTCAAAGCATTGCATTTATTGCACTGTTTCTCAGACCGTCAGGGGCTTTCCAGCTTTTTTTTGTGATAACCCAAAGTGAACCAAATTAGGCCTGACCCGCCACTCACCGCAGCTAGTTTGAAGCAAGATTCCCAATACCCTGGCAGGAATTCCAGAGTCTCAGTAACTCACCAGCTCAAAAGACAAAGCAAAGCCTGCAAAGGTAGAAATGAATACCTGGGTCTTGTCCACCAAAGAAACTGTGCCCAGCTCAGGGTAAAGGCAACGTGGCTATGCCAGGGGGACTTCAGTCACACAGCAAAGGTCCATAGCCAGTCTTTGTCCACTTTTATCTCTTCCAAGACAACTTCTCTCCAAAAAAATGGCCCATAGCTGGCCTGGCCACAGTGATAAGCACATCAATAAATCTTAGCTGCAGTTATTTCTGTGATCATATTTTCGAGATTTAAAAATTTGCACCAACTGATGGTCTGAAAACAGAAGGAGGAAATTCCCATTATAATGCTAACTTCTGCACAGCACCTTGGTCTTTGGAACCTAACGACCTCAATGAGTGGAAAGTGGCTATAGAGAAATTTAGGTTTGCATTAAAAGTTGCATTTCTTCCGAACACCCTGCCTTTTCCCGTTTTCTGTCCTCCTTTCCCACCCTGTAGAGTGGTTTTGAGTTGCAGGGCGTCAGGCACATAGGAGCTGGGAAGCAAGAGCAGGTGTGCCGGCTGGTTCGTGCTACCTGTACTTCAGCCCAGAGACCATGGCTGTGAAGAAGGCTGTCTACTCACAGTAGCTCCACCTGGTGCCCTCCTGGGAGGAGGGAGCAGAGTATGCAGGGCAGGGTTATGGCCAAGCGTCTCACAGGTTGCTCAGAGACCCTCCTCAAGGGAAGGCGTGCGCTGCAGCTATTGCCACCATGTCTACTTGTTAGTGCAAAATAGTCAGATACTGGAGTTTTAGTATTGTAAATGTGAAATGTTGAATAAGGAAATAGTTGTTATCTGATAAGTGTATTAAAATCTGACAAGAAAAGGAAATGTTGTTTGTTACAAATAAGACAAATCTGTGTGTTATGGTGACAAATATGTGTGTGATAGAAACAAGAGAAATAAAATAATTGCATTGCTAACAAGAAGTCCATTAGTTCAAATTACGTGCTCCTGAGGAAAAATTCGGCAATATCTTCTGAAATTCACAACCTCAAAAACCCAGTAGACGGATACTATGAGTTGAAATAGATGCAGAGGTAATATGTTTGGGGGTTTTGGGAATACATGTAGAGTGCAAATAATATATAAATGTATGAATTTGTATGGATGCTGCTTTAACTCTCAAAAGATAACATTTTTATTTGGGATGACTTTTTTAGTTTTGGTATTTTGGTGGATTGTTTGTGATGAATTAGAAATTTGCAGACTGACCTTTACCAGGACAGTTTAAAAAGCACTCGACTGCCAGTCTCTATGGATAGTTCGTGTTGTGTTACAGTAATGGAATTTTTCTTAGCTCCATGTACTTTCCCTAAAGAAGAGTTATCAGCTGCATATTTATATTTTTTTAAAAAATGGCTGAAATACATATTGTAAATTAAGATCTGCATACTGATTTCTCTTGCCGTATACTATAAGGCTTTCTTTTTTTTTTTTTTTTTAAGTTGGAGGTTTTCTAATTATATCTATTTTTAGAGTAGGAATATATCATGTAGTAACTTAAAAGTATTGCTTTTAGGAAATTACTTAGTGGTTTCTTGTTCTTTTTCCTGTTAGTGGTTGAAAGCTATTACTCACTTATCTGGGTT